CACTCACCATATTTGTCCAGGAATAGAAAGCCCAGAGTGTCCCCAATGGTGATGAGGACTCCACCCCACAAGGGAACCCTGTAATCACACCAACACCATCACATGCACCGTCTCACACACACACAGTCACCGTCACACACACAGACATCATCACACGCACCGTCTCACACACACAGACCGTCTCACACACAGAGACACCATCACACACCATCACATGCACCATCTCACACACACAGTCACCGTCACACACACAGACATCATCACACGCACAGACACCATCACACACACAGACATCATCACACGCACCGTCTCACACACAGAGACACCATCACACACCATCACATGCACCGTCTCACACACACAGACACCGTCACACACACAGACATCATCACACACACAGACACCATCACACACACAGACACCGTCACACACACAGACAGCGTCACACACACACAGATACCAACACACAGAAACCTGACACAGCGACTGTCACACACATAGAGACCGTCACACACAGACACCGTCACACACACAGAGACACCATCACACAGAAACCTGACACAGCGACTGTCACACACATAGAGACCGTCACACAGAAAGAGACACAGTAAACTTCCCTCTACACTGTGCAACCACATTCTAACGTTCCTGTTAGATTAGGGGTTGGGGAGGGGTGTGTGGGGGGGGGTGTGGGGGGAGATGAGAGGCAGGTGTCTTACCATTGGTTGCTCAGCAGATTGATGGCGATGGCTGTGCCGATCACCTCCTGCATGTCCGAGCCTATGATGGCGATCTCCATCAGCATCCACAGCAACAACCGCGGCACCTGCCAACCAAAAGCTTAGCTCTGCTCACTGCCTTCCTCCCTGCGTCCCTCCCTGCGTCCCTCCCCGCGTCCCTCCCCGCGTGTCTCCCTCCCTCTCTCCCCGCATGTCTCCCGTCAACACACATTACAATGGAACTCATAGAGAAATCCCGACATATTCGCCCCCTTGTGTCCGTGCTTTGTGCTCCCAAGGCCCTGGTTGGATGGTGAGGGAATAGGACCTGAGCTGGGGGTTGGGATCAGGAGGGGTGGAGGACAGGTGGGGTGAGGGTGGTGGGTGACCCGAAGCGCGGTCAAAGAGGAAGGTCTTAAGACGAGCCTTGAAGGAGTCGCGGGAGAGTGCGAGGCGGAGGGGCGATGGGATGGGATGGAGTTCCACAGTGTGGGGGCAGAGAGGCTGAACCAATGGTAGAGAGTGTGAGAGAGAGTGAGTGAGAGAGAGTGAGATAGAGAGAAAGTGGCAGTGTGGTGCTCACCTTGCTGTAGTACAGGTAACACACCTCAGCCAGGTGTAGGCCGGTTACCACCCCCAGCCGAGCCGACAGTCTCTGTAACAACAGTCCCAGGACCGTAGACCAGAGCAGAACCCACAGCAGCTGTGGGCAGAGAGAGGGTGTTACACACACACAGACACGAGCGCACGCACACGCACACACAGAGCAGCTATGGGGAGAGAGAGTGGGCCACTCTGGGTAACACATAATAACTCTTATAGGCTACACTTCTCACAGTTGGTCCAACTGGCGGCCCGCGGGCCAGATGCGGCCCACCTTCTGATTTAATTCCCCCCTCTCTCCGTGTCCCCCCTCCCCATCCGCCCCACCCACTCCCTCCATAACCCGTCAATGTTATGTTATGTTTCTGGCAGGGATCCACCATCCCGAACCACACCCACCATCCCGACCCACACCCACCATCCCGACCCACACCCACCATCCCGAACCACACCCACCATCCCGACCCACACCTACAATCCAGAACCACACCCAGGACCTGAGAGGGAGGCTGCGCCCTGTGGGTGGGGGGAAGTTGGGGACCACACCCTCACCTGGTAGCCGGCTGCAGCTCCTGACTGCAGGTCTGCCTCGATGTTCCCGGGATCCAGGTACGCAATACTCATCAGGAATCCCGGGCCTGTGAACAACCATAGCTTCCTGAAGCTGAACCCCGGCTGTGAGAACATCATCAACACCAACACCATCAACAACAACAACAACTACTCACGTTTACATTATAAATTTATCAACCGACCAACACACTTATCAATGGGCCGATCAATCAGCCAACCATCTGATCACATACCACTCCCGCCTTTAGGATGATGACTTTCTCCTCCTGTCCCTGGTCGGGGCCGAGGCCATCTGTCTGATCGGAAACGGCAGTGTCTGGAAGGGAATAAACAAGTTGTCAGTTCTGGAAGTCTGTCACACTCACATCCTCACACTCATATTGTAGGTAGAGAGAAACACACACTGACACGCACACCATCACAGATTCACACAGACAGACACACACTCACGCACACACACTGTCACCAGATAGACACACACACACACCCTCCCACACAGACAGACAGACACACACACTCCCACACAGACAGACAGACAGACACACACACACTCCCAGACAGACAGACACACACACTCCCACACAGACAGACAGACACACACACTCCCACACAGACAGACAGACACACACACACTCCCACACAGACAGACAGACACACACACACACTCCCACACACACACACACTCCCACACAGACACACACACGCACACACACAAGTATAAAGTTGTGTTGACCTGTGCTGTGTTGCGGGGAGGAGTCCATGCTAAGGTGTGACTTGGTGCGAGTGTGGACGGGGTCGGTGGGCAATCAGTTCCTCTCATGGACACCGCACCTGATAACTCTCTCAGATCTGCACAAACCTGTCTCCAGCGCAGAGCCCGAGCCAAGCCGCTGCGCCGGGAGTTGGCAGTTACAGCTTCTCTCACTCAACTGCGAAGTGAAACTAGTGAGCTCACATGGAGGAAGCTGGTGTGACTGGAAGAGGCTTTGTGTTGCTGACATGGTTTGTGGTGTATCCGGCCCTGGAGAGGCCAACGAGGTTATCGTGGTGAAGCTCGTGGCATTTTCCCACCTCTGGTTATTAATTATAAATAACAATACAGCAATAATCCTTGCATTCGATGCAGCGCCTGGTCAGGTCTTCGAGACGTCTCAAAGCACGGAATACGCTGTAAAGTGTAGTGACTGTGTGTTTTGTGGGTGAAACGCGGCACCCAATTGCGCACAGCGGTGTCTCACAAACAGTCGTGGATTGAGTGACCACATTTTGATTATTTATTTGAAGGGATTATTACCCCCGGAAAGTGATCCCCCAATCGACTGACAAGCGGGTTCCTACTGACTGCTGTGGTGCGGGCGGCCCGGAGTGCTTTGGAGCAAGTTGTTGTTGTTGACCTTGCCCCCCCCACCCCCTCTCTCTCTCTCCCCCCTCTTTCAAGTCCTGTTCGACCGTGCTTCTGGCCGCTTCCCCCTCCTCCCAGCTCGGAGTCAGGCCCCGCCATTGCTTGAACGCTCTGACACGCTGCCCTGTGGAGTCGAGCGGGTGAGCGGCTGATCCTGAGGTTACAAAATTCTGGGGTTTCGCAATTTTCTTGTGTTCAAACCTCAGCTGTTGCTGCCGGTCTCGTCCTGACAGACTGGCGTCGGTCGGTCGGTGAGTGAGCGAGCGCTGACTCAGGCCTCTCCATCGCTCAGTGAGGATACAACCTCTCACACAAGGCTGAGCGCAACACACGCGCACACCGCAGTCTGCCTCATGCCAACCACAACTGGTCTCATGACACGGAGTGACTCTCCTTCATCACATGCTCATCATCACTGGGATAAAGTTTAACCCAAAGGCACAGAGAGCAACACCCGCACGCACGCACCCCACCCCCTCCCACCCACCCACCCACCCCCACGCTGTACACTACTCTCACATCTTAAACCCACTCACCTCCCCCAGCGCATGGGGGGCTCTGAGCTCACAGTCCAGGCTGGCTCTCTAGCGCAGCGCTGGGGGGGAAGAGAGGGAGAGCGAGCGTTGTATTATCGGAGCTGCCGTCTTTCGGAAGAGACGTTGAACCTCGCTCACTCCCCGCCTGCGCCCTGTTTGGTGCGCCCTGAGAGAAACAGGAGTTTCTCTCTCTCTCTCTCTCTCTCTCTCCGGGTGTCCTGGCCAACAATCCCCCCGGGATATAATTTGTCACTCGCTTCACGGCAGTTTGTGGGGATGTCGCTGTGTGCAAATCGTGCCGCGTTTTGCCCACAAACCACACAGTCACTAAACCTTACAGTATCGCCTGTGAAGTGCTTTGAGACATCCTCCTGACATGAAACTCAGGCTCGCTATGCGTCAGTAATTTTCCCCTCCACCAGAGAGAGAGAGAGAGAGAAAAGCGGAACAGATACCAGAGCAGCTGAAGCTGGGGCTATTTTTGTTGTGTTTGTGTGTTAATTCCATTTACTCAGTTGTGTTCCTTGTTGTTTGGGCCGGGACTCTGGTCCTATCCAAAGGGATAAATAGGATTGTAGAAAGGACTTTAAAGTCAATGGGGAGGAAAGGGTTGAAATAATAGTAACTGGAAGATAAGAATAAAAGGGATGAGAGTGAAGGTCACAATACGGAAAGTGATAAAGAGAATATAATAATAAAAAAAAACCTGGCATTTGATACAGCGCCTTATCACACTGTTGAGACGTCTCAAAGCGCTTCACAGAATATACCGTAAAGTGTAGTGACTGTGTATTTTGTGGGTTAAATGCGGCAGCCAATTGCGCACAGCAGCGTCCCCACAAACAGTCGAGGACTGAGTGACCAAAATATTATTTTTAAAGCAAAATTTTTTGGGAGGTTTTATTACCCCCGGAAAAGTGATCCGGCAATTGACTAACAACCGGGTTCCTACTTACTGCTGGAAAACACAGGCGTGTGGAGTGAGGAGACTCGCCTAAGGTACCACCCTGACCGGGAATCAAATCCTCTCGCTTGCGAGGCGAGTGCTCTAACCACTTCGCTATGGGACTCCTTTGTAACGTCTGCCTGAACACGTAAACAGACACGTGTCTAATCATTGCTTCCAGCTCTAACACTGGGGATCAGCCTTGTTGCTCTCCTCTGCACTGTCTCTAGGCCCTTGTGTCACAGTGACCACCGCTGGACGCGGTACACCAGGGCACTGGAGGAATGTTTTATCCGTGCGCTTATTTTATCCCACACCTGTCCCGTGTGGTTCCTCGCCGCCCCCTCACGTCTCAAACAGCTTTTCTGTGAAGAGCCAAGTTCCTCTTTGTCTGCACCACAACGACAGTTAATCTCGTTAAACCCAATTAATCTGGAATCCAATGGTGCAGGTGTTGGGTTGTGGCCCCCGGGGGTGAGAGGGAGACTGTCTGTTACTGGGACACGAGTGAAAAGATTTTTCTTCCACGTTTCTTAGTGAATTCCCCAAACCTGGAAGGGATGGTCCTAGCTGGACAAGCAGCAGGAAAACTTGCCAGACAGCGCTCTCGATGGCGAGCTGTGTGGGTTTAGCTGGTTAGACTCCAGCCGTTACCCCAACGCACACTCTGGTATCTCCCAACCAACCCTTGGCTCTCGCCAACCTGCACCTAATACTCCCTGGAATTAGATAAACAGGATGTGTCCCTTCAGGGAGAGGGGGGAGAGAGAGAGAGAGAGAGAGCGCATTCCATTCCATCCCGACAATCTCTCTCTGGGGTTTCCAGGTGTAGGGGGGGATGTGGGGAATTCTCGGTTGGGTTTGGAGACTCTTAAGCACAAGGTGATGGGTTTCCGTGTGTGTCAGACACCCGGCTGGGCAACAAAAAAATCTGTTTGTGTCTGTCTGTCTGTGTGTGTGTCTGTCGGTGCTGCTCACAGTCCGTGGCGTTTGGCTGTCAGTCATTGCTGTGTGCGTGTGGCTGGGGTGTGGGTCGGGGCGTGTCTGAGGCTGTCGCTGCTCTGGCTGCGAGTGCAGACTTGTCATCACCAGGGTTACACACGGCAGCTCCTCTCACACCATCACACAGCGAAGCGAGTGCCCCACACCGCGCTCCTGCCTCTGCCGGCCCAGAGACTGACCGACAGGTCCCACTCTCCTCACCCCCCGCGCTCTCTCTCTCTCCCCCCATCGTGTCTGTGCTGGGGCTCGCTCCCCCACTGGGGCTCTCTACTCTAACCCCATTCCCTGCTCTCTCTCTCCCCCCCATCGTGTCTGTGCTGGGGCTCGCTCCCCCACTGGAGCTCTCTACTCCAACCCCATTCCCTGCTCTCTCTCTCTCCCCCCCCATCGTGTCTGTGCTGGGGCTCGCTGCCCCACTGGAGCTCTCTACTCTAACCCCATTCCCTGCTCTCTCTCTCCCCCCCCATCGTGTCTGTGCTGGGGCTCGCTCCCCCACCAATGTAGCTCTCTACTCTCACCCCATTCCCTGCTCTCTCTCTCTCTCCCCCCCATCGTGTCTGTGCTGGGGCTCGCTGCCCCACTGGAGCTCTCTACTCTAACCCCATTCCCTGCAGGAATCATGGATGCTGTCTATACCTCTCTCCGAGCGGAAGTGACGGTGTTTGAGCGAAGTGTACGGAGGTGGCAGGAGAGCTATGAGCAGTGCCTAGTGGGGGGCCGGCGTAAGGTGGGGGTCCAGAGGGAAGGGAGGACTGGGACCTGGGGGAAGGGGGCTGCGGGGGGCTGTCCACCCTCGTGCCTGGCTGGCCTGCGTGAGGACAAGGAGAGGTTTGATCAGGCGGTGGTGATACCATTGTGTGAGACCCTGTATGTGAGCGAGGACGCCGAGACCCCGGTCTGCCCCTCACCTTCATCCCTCTCCTCCTCCTCCTCTTCTTCGTGCCGGAGGCAGGAGGAGGAAGAGGAGGAAGGTGCGGAGGTGGTGAACGAGGACCACGTGGGGGGCAGCTGGTCAGACCCCATCGCGGGTGTGGCTAAGCGTCTGTTCCAGGTGCGGAGAGGGTGGGCTCTGCTGCTGGCGGGGGGGACATCAAAGAGGGGGCAGAACCCACCCCCGAACCCCCTGCCCCGCCCTCAGCCCCCCCCTCAGCCCGGCTCCCGCCTGGTGACGGACATCCTGGAGGAGAGCCTGCGAGCAGCCAGCCTGGCCCGGCGCTGGATCGACCTGCACGAGAGGCGTTACGGACCACGAGCGCCGGAAAAGGGACGGGATTTGCCGGAGACCCGGAAGACTCGGCACGGCAGCCAGAGCGGGGATCGCGGTGAACGCCACGTGCATCGCGGCCACAGGAACACGGACGGCGGTGGCCTGAACACGCACCCCGGTCACGTACCGACACGTGAGAGGACATGGCCTCTGGCGTCTTGCGGTCCGCCCGCGGGGGTGGGACGCAGTCCGGCCGGACACGGGGATTGGGATGAGCTGGAGCTGCTGGTCCGGAGAGCGGAGCGAGCGGGAGCGCTGGAGAGCGAGCTGCGGGAATGCTCTCGCCGTGGTGACTGTCTGAGGGCGGAGCTGGGACGGGCGAGGGCCGGGCTCCTGGGGGGAGGGGAGCGAGACATGGGGAGCGAGAGGGAGAGCGAGGAGCCGGACCTGGAATGCCGCCTCCGCTACGAGGAATTCCGATACCGGATTCTCCGGGACGATTGGTTACTGGAGCTCGAAGTCCGGCCGGTTCTCATCCGGCGCATCAACACGGTGAGTGGCAATCCCCCCCCCACCTCCCCACCCACCTCCCCCCCCCACCTCCCCCCCCACCTCCCCCCCCACCCCCCCCCCCACCTCCCCCCCCTCCCTCCCCCTCCCGCGGTGTTATTAGCCGTTATTATTAATTATTATATTTCTGGTTTCAGCTTCAGGAGGAATGGGAAGAGTAGGCGGAGCTATCCCGCAATCCCACGATCCATTCCCACCCGGAGCCCCTCTCCCCGAACATTCCAATCCGTCACCTTCCTGCGGGACCCTCTGTG